GAGTCTCTTCCTCTAGTGGGCCGCATGCCTGGATGCCGTCTGACCCCCATCTCCAGAGGCCGCTCCTCCATCGTGAGAAGGGAGGAGCAGCTGCTGTGGGGGGACTCATGGGCTGAAGTCCTTTTCTCTAGGTGCCCACAAGAAGGCTGAAGCCAGGTTTATCCCTTTCCCCCTCAGCAATTTGTGCTTTCTGTCCAGGAGGCTCCAGCATTGGGAGGTTTTGGACCACCTGATGTCTGCGCCTTTTCGTATTGCATCTCCTGGGATTCAGAATGCCCGGCCCTGCCCAGAAACACGGGTCTTTCTTCAGTTATTTGTTAGATCATTTCGTCTTCTTCATCTGCTCCTTTTCTGGCTGGGATGGTTTTTGCATCCCGTGTAACCCTCCTCTATTCTGCAGGTCTCTTCTTCCCTTCATGGTTTTTGTGTATTTTTGCTTTGCACTTTAAAATCTTTTGACTGGATTCTTCCTGACTCTTTGGTTTGCTAAGTTGGCATCAATCCTTTAATTCCTCTGCTGAACTTTAAAATGCCTTTAGTTCAGTAGTCATAGTTTTAAACCAGAATTTTGCGCATGTGTGCTTCATGAGTGTTCTTTGTAAGAGTGCTTTTTGTATGAAGTGCTTCTCATGCTGTATTGGAATGGGTGCCTTTGCCCATTTTCTTTGCTGCCTAGAGCAGCCCCCCTTACACTGGGCGGCTTTGGGCTCTGTGGTGGCCGCGGGGACTGATCCTGCCAGCTTCGTGGCGTGGAGCTGGCTCTCTGGCTGCTCATGCAGGCTCCTCAAGCTCCCTGTCCTCAGCCCGCCTCCTTTTGGTTTATCGAAAGGTGGAAGTTCTTCCTGGGGGACAGGAATCTGTGATTCTCGGTAGAATTAGAGCCTCCCAGGATCCAAAGTGGTTCCAGCTTTGTTCTAGAACTCTTCAGCCTCTCTGCCTGGCCTCTGCCAGACTTTCAGTAACTCAATCCCGAACCTCTCCTGCCTCAGCTGCCTGTGGGTCCCACCAGCCCCCAGAGGAACAGAGGCGTGGCAGACATCTGGAGCAGGCCTTTTCAGAGTCTGTTTCTCAGCAATTACTACTTTATATTTATAAAAGGACATGGACATTGTAAAACCAGAATAAACTGCAGAATTGTACAGTCCACTCTTTTACTAGATCAATGGGTCCTGTAAATATGTTGTATGTACTATATATAGTGAGTGTTTAAATGAAAACACTTATTACAGTAAAAGACACATTGCCATTAATCCTCCTCAAAATACTTCCCTCACTGCAGACACACTCATACCATCATACTGGCTACCTTCTGAAGCAGTTCTGGAAAATTCTCTGTCTTGAGTGTCTTTAGTTGCGCTGTTGTGGCTGCCTCGATATCCTGGCTTAATTCAAAATGTTGACCTTTCAAGGTCATTTTGACTTTAGGGAAGAGCCAAAAGACATATGGTGCCAGATCCAGTGAATAAGGCAGATGAGGACGCAGCGTGATGTTTTTGTGAGCAGCCTTTCTGTTGGATGGTGCTCAGCAGCAGCACTTGCCATATTTTTTTATCACACCTTGTAAAAACACTCAAGGAGGACTAACAGAAAGTGGCAAAAAGCTGGGATAAGTGTGTTCAAAGTGAGGGGGAGAATTTGAAGGGGGTTAATGACAATGTATCTTTTATTGTAATAAAAAATGTAAAATATTTATTTTTATATTTCTTATGTATTTCAACCATGCTTTTTATATACATACATACACATATTATATATACATATGGGATTGCATGTATATATAATGTATATATATATACACACTATATATATATAATGTATATATATACACACTATATATATATAATGTATATATATACACTATATATATATATACACACACACACACTGTTTTGAAACTTGTCTTCTTTCCCTCTAGTATGTTAAGGATATTTTTTAAAAATGAGAATTCATGTAGACTTCCCATCTTTTTCATGACTACATGGTTTTCAACTGTGAAATATCAAAATGTGTTTAACCAATGGTCTGTGCATTATGAACAGTGATGTTTTGAAAATCTTTGCAAAACCAGATTACTAGATATGGAATGTATAGGTCAAAGGATATATGCATTTTGTATTTGGATAGCTTCTTCCAAATTCTTTTCCAAAAAGGTAGAGCTTGTTACTCTCTTGGCTACAGAATATGAGTTTCCATTTCTCTTACTCTGGCTGACACTGTATTATTAATTTTTCATTTCTCGTGGACTCCTATCAGTCTTATATTATTCTTCTTTGCGTCATCTAGGAGCTATTGGCTTGATTTCTCATAGTCCCTTACTAGTTTTAAGAGATCTCTCTTTTCATGGTCACTGATCACCATCCTGTCTTCTATATCTGATATTCTGTCTTCGTATTGGCTCAGTCTGCTGTGTATACTTTCAATAGAGTTTTTAATGCCCTGGATATCTGTTTGAATCTGTTTCATGGATTCCATTTCTTTCCTATGTTGGGCATTCATGGCCTCCATCATGTTCCTGAGCTCATCTGTTTTTTTAAACTGTTTCTGTTCTAGAGTCTCTAAACATGTCTTTCATTCTACTCACCATCTCTGTAGTTATCTAGGAAATTATTTCTATTTTGAATTTTTCTAGAGCCTCATTCATCTGTTTTGTTACTTCCTGTACTATCAGTTCTGGGTGTCCAGGTGGTTGATTATCAGACTTTTCCACCTCATTTCCCCCAGAATTTGTCTTTGGTGAGCTGGAAGTCTGGGTTTGTGCCTTGCTTAAATGTCTTCTCATTTCTATTTTTGTTGGTTCTCTCTTTGGTTTAATTCCTGGGTTGATACTTCAATATTGCATATTGTAAGTATCTTCGTTGCTTGTGTTTAGAACCCTTCTGGAATGGTTGCTTCTCAGAGGTGTCTCCAGATATAGCTGATCTTTAGGTTTTGAGTCTCTAATGACTCTGAGGCAATATCGTTTTCATTATACCAGGAAGGACAACTGATTAGATCAATCACAACACCTTAGCCCAAGTGATACAATCAGTAACAACAATAGCATCAAGTGCAGCTTAGAAAATGACAATTTGTGGTAGTTTTTAATCCATCACCTTTAAGAGTGTGAATTAAATCAAAATCAAGGACCAGCCGAAAACATGTTTATAGTGAATAAACTCTTCAATATAGCAACTTTACCCTTCAGGATGGGGAGTTAGAAGCAGTTGGGGAGGGAGGGATGGATAGGTAGAAGGATAGGGAAAGGTTAGCTGTGAGGCTAGAGGACAGAGGAAGATCACACAAACTCTAGGAAACTGTTGACAAGAAGAAGAAAAGATAGAATGAAAGAACAAAGACAAGAACAGAACAACCTAACAGCAGTAGGGAAACTAGAAACTGTATTCACTTACCTTTGAAACTAATGACACTCAAGAGAAGGAAAAAGAGAAGAAAAGAAAAAGAAAGAAGAAATCCGAATTAGGGCAGGAACAGAAACACAAAGGGAGATGAAGAACAATGTGTGTGGGGGGGAGGGCCAGGGATTTAGCTCAGTGGTTCCAGCACCTGCCTCGCAAGCACAAGGTCCAGAGTTCGATCCCTGGTACCAAAAAAAAAGGAAAAGAAGAAGAAAGAAAAAAATTTGAAAAGAGTGGGAAAAAATGAAAAAATTAAAAATAAAAGAAAAAAATAATTTTGAAAATAAAAATGAAAATGAAGGGCCTCCTTCAGGGTATGTCTCTGCTGTCACAGTAGACAACGTGGGCAGCAGTGTACAGTTATAAGTCAGTGAAACTCAGCAAGCCAGTTGCAGACCTGTGAGATTCAGGCAGATTTCTGGCTGCAAGTCCCAAGTTGAGCTCCCTGACCTCCTGCGGGGTTGAACTCTGAAAGGTTCTACTGCAGGTTCCAGCTGCCCTTCCCCTGAAGATAGTGCAGGTTCCAATGGGAGGTGGTGATCCCTCCAACTTACCAAGCAGGGTGGTCTGGTGTGCCTTTATTGCAGAGATTCTCTTTGCTTTTCCAGTGGGCTTCAGTTTTCATCAAGGACCCTGAGAGAGGCCCTCTATGTGTTGTTCACTTCTCTGTCTTCTGGAGCTCAGGACAATGGCCTTTATGCTCCCCTGTGCCTCTGTGGTGTGGATCCAGGTACCTGCGCAGCCAGGAGGCCAGAGGTGGGGGGGGGGGCGGTTGCATGGCTCCACTCCTTGCTCCAAGGCTGGGGATGGGGGTTTTAATTTTTTATTTCTCTTAATCTGATAAAATTAAAAATAGTATCCTATTGTTGCTTTAATTTGAAAATCTTCAATTACAAATGATGTGTTGCATCTTATGCTTATTGTCTGACTAGATTTTTTTCTTCTGTGAATTGCCTTTTTTCGTTTTCTTCTTTTTCCCATTGAGTTGTTAGATTTTTTTCTTGATGTGCTGAAGTTCTTTCTAACTTAAGGAAGTTAGTTTTATATCTGGCATTTGTGCTGTAAAAACATTTCCCAGTGTGTTATTTGTTTTCAGCTTTTTATGGTGGTCTTGGCTGCACTGGTATTTTTAATTCTATGTTGTTTGATTAACCTTTTGCCCCAGGTTTTATGTCTTGCTTAGAAAGATCTTCCTTACTTTAAGATGACAGCAATGCAAAGACTTATGGTTTCTTCTTGTACTTTTATGGTTTTGTCTTCACATATAAATCTTTGATCTACTTGAAATTTACTTTGATGTGAGGAGTGGAGGAGAAGTCTATATTAGCTCGTTAAAGTTTTTTCTGTATGGCTACCTGTTTAACGCAGCATCGCGATTCGAGTTCATCTCTTTCTGGACAATGTGAAATCCCGTTTTCACCATAGGTCTCATCCCCAGGGGGCTGAGTGTTGTGGAATGATCTGAGGTCTGTCCAGGGAATCACACACCGGTTCGGGGGGAGTCCTGCGGAAAGATCGAAGTGTGTGGGAACTTGGCAGAGTGGGGGCGGGGATTTTCCCGCTGCCCCACCGTGTGCTCATGGCCCTCTGTACTTGCGGTTGCAGATATCTGAGAAGTACGGGCTGCCGGTGGAGAAGATCACAAAGCTTTACAAGAAAAGCAAAAAGGGGTAAGAAAGAAATTGAACTTCAACTCACTTCCAAATCAGACACGCCTTCTCGGTGCTTTTTCTTAAATAGTGCCCATCTTGTGCCACTTCTGTCGCTCTCTCATAACAAGCATGTGGCCCTTCTGGAGGACTGCAGGGCAGCTTGTGCACGGTGCTCAAGAGTCTTTCACAAGGGAGGACCAGAGCATGTTGTCCTCATGCAAGCTGAGATCCCTGCTCCAATGACAAGATTTGCAGTGGCCCAGAGGGGTCTGGAGTGAGCTGAACACAGTGGGGAGAAGGCAGAGCCCCCTCTGCTAAGAGTGGCGTTTGTGGCCCTTGGGATTGGTTGCAGGGTAACATCATGGGGACAGGCGTGGCCGAGGCCTTCAGGATTTGTCCAAGTTAATCATTTGTGAAGAACAGCAGCTCTTCCCCACTGGGACTCAGTAGGCTCTGCGTCCCCTCTAAGTGTTTTACACATGTTCCTCACTTCCTCCTCGCTGTTCTACAAGGCAGTGTCTATTACTACCTCTTCTTTCTGATGAAGAAGCCAAGCCAGAGCTGCTTAAGCATCTGGACACACATTCAGTTCACGGGACACAGACTGGGGTCTTGGGCTGTGGCCTCAGAGCTCAAAACTTGGCTTCTGTGTGCCACTGTCTGAGCATCCTGGCCTGGCCACAGGTTCAGCCCTCAAGAATATCTCCAGGGCCTCAGCTCCTGGAGCTGCTTTCCTATGAGGCAGAGGACGGGGTCTCTAAACTCTTCTGTTTCTCCTTCCTAAAGGACTTTGATGATCTGGGATTCTCGGGCTTTCTGAGCAAATAGGAGAGCTTAGTGTGAGTTGCAGTTCTTCCCCAGGCCGACCCAGAGTCCCCTGCCTAGCGCTCCTCCGATGCAGATGTGCTTGCTGCTGATGATGACACAGTGCTGTCAGGAGCCGTGTCAGCCCCATGCCTGGTGCTTCTAACCCAGCAACAGCCCCAGAAGCTGCACTGTCCCAATGTTGGCCAAAGAATAAACTGAGGCTCTAAAAAGCAAAATAACTGGATAGAATCAGTGATTCATTCTCAAACTAAGATCTGTCCAACTTCCAAGAATGGGATCAACCCAAGGACTTCTAAATATGGACAAACTCTGGAAATTGTTGGTTTTCTTAAAACTAAATCCCTCGGGGTAGTTGGCCAAGGAACAGGTCCGGTGTGGGGAAGTAGCTAGTTCCAAACCTGTGCTAGCTGGTTGAGCCTCCCCAAGCTGAGCTGTCTCATGTGCATAGTGGTAGTGATGAACCCCTGGAGGTTGCTGGGTCCCCTGCAAGGTGTCCGAGCCCACATTCAGTGTGCATTCAGCCTGAGGTGACAGAATCCTCGTGTATGTCCCTCTCCCCGTTAAGGTCAGTGGCCTCGTAGCCTAACGAAAATGCTTAGGGGTGCTAACTGTGTAGGCTGTGATGTCAGTCTCCACTAACTGTGCTGAGCCTCAGTTTACCAATCTGCAAAGCAAGAGGGTTGGGTTGAGTGATCCTGGAAGTGATGAGGGAGGCTTTGCTTTCCTCCCCTGGCCTCCTCCCGCCTCAGCCTCCGGCCTGGGGCCTGCCCCTGTGCTCAGCGCATCTTTGTTCCCCTGGCAGCATCCTGGTGAACATGGATGACAACATCATCGAGCACTACTCCAACGAGGACACCTTCATCCTCAACATGGAGAGCATGGTGGAAGGCTTCAAGGTCACGCTCATGGAGATCTGAGGCCTGGGCTCAGCCCCGGAGAAGGAGCCCCCTGTGCTCCTCCTGGAGGAGATGGGCACAGAAGCGGAACCGGAGCTGGAGCCGGAGCCCGGTCCACCCATCATCTCACGACTGCTGTTACACGCCCGCCTCTGGGGGATGCAGGGCGCAGCCAGGACCCACCCGCCCACTGGGGCCTTGGCTCCTTATTTATTGCCGCCTTCTCCAGAGCTTGGTCCAGCCCCACCGGGACCCTGCAGGGCACCGCTAGCTCCAAGGAGATGGCCCAGAGCCCCTCGGAGGGAGACAGCCGGCCGCGCCTCCCAGAGCCCAGAGCCTCACCCCCTTTCTCGCCTCTGCGCGGTTCCCTGCGCCTGACAGAGTGGCTGTGCTTTGGGCAGGGTCCCAGAGGGTCACATGGACACCCCCTTCCAAAGCTTCGAGGCCTTGTCCAGGGAGATGCTGCTCCCGGGAGGTGGGGAGGAGCTCGAGGCGTGGCTGATGTCATGTACATAGTGTGTATAGTGTCACCGGAATATATTCCACCTGTGCCGGCTGCGCCCACTGTCACTGCCTGGCGGGCACGTCCCTGGGCACTCGGGGCTCCGCCCACACCTGCTCAGAACTCACACTGGGCCCAGCTGTGATGGAGCCCAGACGGACTCTGCCTCAGGGGCATCTGGGCGGCTCTGCTGCCTGCCTTGGGCTCTCGAATCCCAGCTCCTCCCCAGCTTCGGTCTGGGACACTGTGCTGTCCTGGGCACCGTGGACACTGTCACGCCTGGCAATTTGCAGTGCACCCTCCATCCCTGGAGGCCTCTTGAAAGCCCAGCCCCAGGTGGAGCCTTGCACCAAGCCTGGCTTCCTTCTGTGCCAGGGACCGAGAAGGGCAGCTGCCTGGGCGGGTGCTGGAGGGCTGGGCGGCAGACTGCCTGAGAGAGGGAAGAACCCTAAAGCTGTCAGCTGTGTAGTGGTTCCTGTGCACCCTGTGACCCAACGCACTGGATCTACGTCGTCCCCTGCAGGCCGACTGAGGACAGGCCCAGCGGAGCGGTCCTGAGCCGTGGGCAGAGCACTTTGTTCTCCTGGAAGCCCCACTGCCCAGACTCTTCCCTCCCCACCGCATGCCCAGGCCCGGAGCCTGAGGCAGCCCCCCGCCAGCCTCGAGGCTGGGAAGGAGCTGAGTGGGATGGAGAGCAGGCGCCGCTTGAGCCTGAGCGGGCTGAGGAGCACCTCCACCGTGTCCTCTGGACCTGTCACCCTCCCCGTGGTGCCACAGGTCTGCGCCCTGGACTCAGCGGTGCCCCCGCCCGTCCCCTCCTCCCCACTCCGGCAACCACACCTGGACGGGCAGCTGGGGCCTAACGGGGCTCAGGCGTAAGATGGACACATCCAGCGGTGGACGGAAATGAGCGCATGCACTCAATGCCCCAGGGTTAGGAATCAGTCTGGACGCGATCGGCAGGCCCCTCCCCTGGAGCTGGGGGCTCCGGAGTAGGGAAAGGACCACATTTGTGGCAGCTGGACATAAGCCACAGACCTGGAAAGACCCGGTCCCTTTGGAAAACTACGCTGGCCCCGTCTGAGGCAAAAGACGAATGGGAGGCGCTTCCGCCTTTGTCCCGAGTCTCTAAGCCGTCACTGTGGGGACCACTGCCAGAACGGAGGTGATGAGGCCGGTGGCACCCGAGGGGGTGGAGAGTGTCGCCCCTCCTGTCCGCCCGCTCCGCGTGCCCGGAGTGCCCGCAGTTAGCTTTGGTGACTCCTTTCCTGTGTAAGTTAGCAGAGCTGTGATCAAAACTCCCAAGAGAAACACTCCAGAAAGAGGAAAGCTTACCTCCTCCTGGTTTTGCCCTTTAATCACTCCCAAATAAATAAATAAGCTTTTTTTGGGCAATCCATAAAAGGTGGGGGAAACATGACGCAAGCGTTTTTCTTCTACATCCTGAAATCGTGTAGGCTTTACTGGTGTTTGGAAATTGGAACCAACAAGAAAGGCAGTCAGGCATCATCTTGGAATTGGTTCCTGAAAGACTAAGGCACATCCCAGGGCAGAAACTCGGGAAGTGTCAGATGAGTCAACCGTTTATTTTCCTCCTTATTTAAAATTATGAAAAAGCAACAGACATAGAGGGTTTGTGCCAAATTCTCAGAATGGTCCTTTCTTAAAGACAAGCATGAGAGACTGATGTACGTACAGTTCGCTCTCACATTAAAAAAAAAAAAGCAAATGTAACTTGATAGTTTTGTAAATGGGAGAGGGGAAATCTATAAACTATAAATACAGTTATTTTATTTTTTGTACATTTTTAAAAAGAAAATAAATATTCATAAGACTCAAACGGCAGTGTCTGGTGCTTCCGACCCGGGTGTTGGGGCTCTGCCTGCAGGGGGCGTCTCTGGCCACCTGGGGGCACTGGGCCATCTGGGCACCTTCCTGCCCTGGCCACACTGAGCCGCCTCCCCTCCCCAGAGCTAAATGAGGGGCGGGTGGACGACACTGCCAGGCGCCAGTGCGGCCCTGCAGGCTGTGGGGCAGGGGCTGACCCCACCTCTCCCGGCCTCTCATCCAGGCTGGCTGTCCCTCTGTCTAGGGGTGAAAACCAAGCGACCCGACTTGAATTGCACCATGACACCCAGAGCACCATCCCTGTCTGTCTTCGGTTTCCTTGGTGACCATTGTGTCCCCCCAGGCAGGTAGCAACTCCCCTTCTTTCTGTCCACGACCACAGCTTTCAAATCTTGGCCGAAATTGGCCTCCAGGATTTGCCTGACCGCTGGCCAGCGGCGTCTTAACTCCCCTCTTCGGAACCAGGACCAGGGAAGAGGGTGCTGTGGAGGCCCGGAGAGGCCAGGGAGCAGGGATGGGCCACCAGGCTCTGTCGGGAGCTGCGTCCCTGCCTTGGGAGCAGCTCTTCTCTGCCGCTGCTGTGAGGTCATCTCTCCTCGGTGGTGGCCTCCATCTGTCCCTCAGCCTGTGACAACCACAGTCCTTCTGTCAGGTGAACTATGCTCACCCCGTGTGCTGCCCACCGCCAGCTCCCCGGAGAGGGACATTCGCGGGTTTCCTGACCGGTCACCTTGCTGCTTTGTCCTCAGAGCTCCTTCAGCCCCAGTTTCGGTGCCTCTACATGAGGTGCCTGAGTTCATACGGAGACTCGGGCGGGAATGGGAGGGAAGGGGGGACTCTGACAGCCAAAGCACCCGAAGTGGGAGGGCACCCACCACGGACATCCGGGGGCTTCCCTGGGCCGTGTGTGCCCCATGCCCCGCCGCGGGAGGACCTAGCTTTCTGCTCTGTGGTGGCAGAGCTGCTTTGTAGTGATTTTCAGGCCCGGACAGAACGTCTTGTTGAGCTGAGGCACGCGCTGCCCCCAGGCCAAGCTTGCGACTAACTCCTCCCTCCGCCCAGCTGCTCACAGCTCCAAAACTATCACCAGGGTGGCTGCCGGCACCCCGCACCAGCGCAGCGCAGTGACTCCACGACTTCCAGAGCCATCGCCTGGCCAGCCGCACATGAGGATGGTGTGGGTGGCTGGGATGAGTGTGTGGCCCCAGCGTTTCTCCTGTTCGTCACCATTTCCTGGACCTGAGCTGGGAGAAGACGCCACAAAGGACGCCTCCCTGTGCCCCCGGGCCACGCCCAGCTGTCCCAGCCTAGCTCAGTGTTGTTGTGTGCAAGGATTGTCCTAATGCGTGCCCCGGCCCGTGCACTGGGCCCAGCACCCAATGAGCAGCCTCCCAGGCCATGCTGTGCCTGGGCACGCGGTCCGCTTTCCAAGGTGAGAAGCCCACCCGAGCAGTCAGTCACTGGCGAGCCCTTGGCCGGGTCAGCTCCCCTGGGCAGCCATCTTTCTATTCCAGCTGCGTTGGACGGAGTCCACAGACTTGGAAAACATGGGACTCAGTGAGTTTTTTCTCTCACTTCTGCAACCACCTCAAGAACCAGAAAATTCCGGGAAAATTCCAAGCACACCTTAACAGGCAAGAGAGACCGGGGAGTGGAGCACTTCCTCCAAGGGCAGTGCCCTGCTCTCCTTGCTGCCTTGGTCAAGAGAACCAGGCTCCTCCACTGCAGGTCACCTGGGCAGGGAGGGACTTAGCTGGCCCACGACGTTGGCTCAGTGCCTGGTAAACAGGAGCCCTGGATTTGGAAATGTGCCAGCAATCTGGCAGTCCTAGGTGTGCAGGCCCTGCTCCAGGCTGGAGCTCCCAGCCGCCTTCCCGCCAGCACCAGCATGCACAGAACTTGTGGGCACCAGGTCCATCAGGACAGCTGTGCAGTAGGAAGACTCAGCGCCCTCCTGGGCCCCACTGGCCTCGCTCTAGTGCACCCTAAGTGAGCATCTCAGTGGCCCCTGCTCCCACAGCACTGGCCTCCGGGGTGGAGAAAGGGCCAGCGACAGTGGCGGAGCAGTTTGATCTGAATGGTCCGGGCGTGGTCTCTGCAGTGGACTGAGCTTTGCTGGTGCTTGGGCATAGGGGGCACCGAGGGAGGGTGCCTCAGAGCCACCTCCTGTTGTGCTGCTCTTGCACCCCAGTTTGGGCAAGGAAAGGAGTGGGAAGAAAGGGGAAGCCATGCGCACACCAAGCACACTTTGGGGACAGGGCTCCGAGCTCAGCACCCTCCCCCAGACCCCCAGTCACAACCCCAGTTTCTGGGGTCCCCAGGCGGGGCAGGAACCCAAACCCAGAACCCCCTCCAGCACAGCCCAGCTGGGGCAGCAGCGTGGTCAGGAAAACTCACATTCCAGACACACACAGTAAACAGTCCGCATGCTTTAATGCCAGGCAAGAGCTACACAAAGTCAGCTGATACAGGGCCACTCGATGAGACAGGATTCATAGATATGCTCAGATCACCATAGGACACACTCGTGCCCAGGCTGAGTCGCCAGGATGGGCAGCACCCTCTCGGGCCCAGCAGGGTGAGCAGTCGAGCATCCTGCAGCGTCGCCCAGCTCATGAGCCACTTCCAGTCCCCTGGACACACAAGTGGGCTTCACGGGGGACAGGAGAGACTCCGCTTCCAGAGGTCACTGGACACAGCAGAGACGAGGCCCGCCCCACAGAGTGACAGGGACCTGCAGCCATCCGGGCCTCTGCCAGCTGGCCAGTTCCAGGTCCAAACTCGAATGCATTGGGTCAGATGTGCCAAGGCCTCCTGGGGAGGAGGAAAACAGGCCTGGAGGAAACACAGCTGGGTGTGGGCTCCCCGGCTCTGTACAAGCTCCGTGCCTTCTGGGAGCGGCGGCCTCATTCCCGCTAGAGACCTTGCTGCTGGGGACCCTGTCTGCTGCTCAACAAGGTGCCAGGACCAAGGGCAGGCCCCGGCGAGCGTCCCCAGCACTGACTCCACTCATCACAGGAAGCCAGAAAGAGCTCGGACACACTCGACCCAGAGCAGGCAAAAGTGAAACACAACCCCCAGGCACTACTGACAGCATGCCAGGCCCTCCCCACTCTGGTCTGGTCAGTACCCCACTTCTCCAAAACAGACCTCACTGCTCGCTCCGTGGAGGAGTCGGCAAGTCCTGGCGTGCAACACAAGGAGCTAACACTCAGAGGAACATCAGGACGACTGAGTCCAGGCCTCAGACACTCACACAACCCAGCTGGCCCACTTTGGCCCACCATACACATTTGGGTTTCTGACCACAGCTAGAAGGGACTCAAGCCACACCCGGAAACAGGCGGCTGGGATGGGCACAGTATTGCTTTCCTCGTGTTATACGCCTCTCTCTGTAGCTCCCATCCTACAGGAAGTGGTTCGGCAGCAGACAGGGCCCCTGGAGACCTCCAGCCTTCTGCAAGGCAGGTCCTCACCTTGGGTGTCAAACCTCCCTGGGCCAGTGGCCTGTGAGACTATGTCCTGGCTGGGACCAGGAGTTTGTAGTGTGCATGAGGTGACTAGCCCGAACAGCAAGTCATACTTGCCCTGTCACTGCTGGAAACGGAAATCTGCATCAGAGAACCCGGCGACGGAGATACCGCTGGGTTCCCCACAGCGCACTGCAGGCACCAGACACACTTGTGCCGCCTTCTCACAGTGAATTCAATGACTGCCCCACCTCAGGCCCTGTGAAGGCCGCCGGGGACCAGAAATGTGCTGGGACTGTAGGGCAGTCCCCAGAACTAGGCTGTTTCTTTCAAGTCTGCCAGTGCCCATCTGGTCAGAAATGCGCCTCACCTCCCTCCACTCTCGCCACCAGTGAACCAGAATCACAGCCTCAGCTGCCTCGTAAATGTCACCCTCCGGATGCTGCAGCTGACCCGACTCCTTAACCTGTCCCGCTTCTGTTCCCCAGCCACTGTGACTCTGGAAAACCACACGGAATCAAAGCTGGGCCCTTGTCACGGCCACTGGGAACTTTTATGGAATATATAAAATATACTTGCTGATTGGTACGCTGTGCAAAGACAGATATGAGTTTAAAACAAGACATAGACATTCACTGTGGCTGGCTTACTTCACAATAAGCTACTAAAAACCATCTTCTGTAATTAGATTGTATTCGTGCTTGCTAAACATGCATGTACAAGGCATTACAAGGCATTTACAACACTCAGTTTGGTCTGTAATACCCAGGATTTTATATACAGCAGTCTTTCTTTTTCTTTCTTTTTTAAAAAATCACAATAGGCAACAAGATGGGTCTGGGTTTGGAATATGTTACCCTTTGTGTTTGATTTCTGAAGAAAGTCATATTACTCAAGGAGTGTAAACGTGTGAAAAAGAACAGCTGAGCCCTCTTAGTCCACCCCTCCTCTAGTTGACCTTGAAATGTTCACAGCTTAGAAACTACAGCCTACTGGGGCCGTGAAGTGCGGTTCACGGGGATGCCCTAGTGCCCTGGAATAGCCCCGGCCCAAAGGGTGACCTGTCCTCAGGGAATCCAGCCTCTGGCTCCATCTGTGGTCCCCAGGGTGAGTGCGACAGCAAACCCAGCTGGGTTTGGGCTTTTGAACAAAGCCCCCAAAGCTTGCAGTAGAATCACCGGGCTGGATGGGATCCCCTCCCCTGCCCTCCAAGTCTTAGGTTTTAGAACAGAGACATTAGGATCCAAAGAACAAATAATAATCATAGCTAGAAAGTCACGAAACAATGACACTAGGACATCTGTTCATGCTCTCCACAAGCACACGGGGCTCTGTGTTCCCATGAAGCGTCCACCACCACGACGAAGCTGAAGGCGAGGGCATCACGGGAGAAGGTGCATCCAACTGCACAGGGGACAGCGCCACCATCAATATTGTTTGGCAAAAAAACAACTCATTACACAGAAGAGTGGAAAAGGACACAAGCAGCTCGGGACTCGTGGGGTGCAAGCTCAGAACTGGCCAGCGCTGCTGGGGTCACACTGCAGCAGGCGCACGATGGACGGGTCGCTTTTGGCCCCGCGGATGAACTCCTCCAGGGAGAGTTTTCCTAGGAGGAAGAGCACAGGACAGTGAGCGCAGGTGGCTGCAGCTGCCCTCCCACTTCCTGTTGGTGGCCTCAGCTGCTCCGCTGCCTGCCGCCTCTGTAGAGCCCAGGTGACCGGCTACAGGGGAGATCTACGGGGCCATTTGTTGGTAGCTGTGCCCCTGCCAGAGCTGTCCTTTAAATGCTGATGACTCGTGAGGCGAGACAGGAAACAGCAGCGGTCACTTGCACTCAGGCAGGCCTGGGGACCATGGGAGCCAGGGACGCTGTTCCACTGGACACCCAGCTGTGGACTTGGCTCAGGGCCGGCTCCCGGCTGACTCCCTGTAGGCCCAGACTTTTCAAGTCAGAGGCCATGGGTGAGATGCAGGCAGCGTCCAGTGCCTCAGCCCTGCTCTCCCTCCGCCATGGGGTCGGGAGACCGAGCACCAAGCTAAAGGACTCACCGAGCTTCCTGGTGCGCTGGCTGCGCTTCCCCTGACCGCCCCACACTTCCAGCCTTTCCCCCTCCTCTCTTCCGCTGCCGTCTTTGTTTCTTTGTTTAAACACCAGTCTCTCCTGGGGAAGCTCAGGACGCAGGCAGCGAGCTCCCTTCCTGGGATGCCGACCCCAACAGGAAGGCCTGGCACTGCCAGTGCCCGCGGAGGGGGGCACTGTCCCGCCCATCTGTGCCGGGAGCCAGGCACCGTGCCGCTGTGCTCCCTGCACCCCAGCCACACTGCAGCTTACACCACAAGTCCGGTAGCTGATGGAACCTCCTGTGTTTGTTTAATCTTTGCAAAACGATTGAACTGTGTGCTGTGAATCCAGGCACATGAGGGAAAGAGGAGGTAAGAGGAGGCCTGCACCCCATGGAGCAGACAGATGGATGCGAACCTGGATTCCAGCAGCTGGAGCCAGGGGAGGCACAGACAGAGGCCGGCTCAGCTGCAGACAGCAGAGATGCGAGGCCGGTAATAACAGCAAGAGCTGCAGGGCTCCAGGAGCACCGGCCGGAGCTTCTGCGTTAAAATCAGGCATTGGATTTAAACAGCACTGCCACATTCGGCTGATGAAGTCAGGGTGCCTAGTTAGCCCTGAGTGTCAGACAACCGGCACTCAATTCCTTGTGCGAGTGTGTCCCAGATGTCACTGCGGGGCCTACTCACAATAAAACTGTCACCGTTAGCCACCCTCGATTACTGGGGCCTCCGTATCGTTTGCCCTCGAGTTGGAATCCAGCCCTTCCCTCACTGGCCTGTGTGTGGGTCTCAGCTGTGGGTGCAGACCTGCTGCCCTCCCAACCCGCCACCCCATCCCCGGTGCCTGAGAGAACCCTCTTGCGTCATTGTCTTGGGGCCCGTAGGGGACACCCTGATTTTGTCTTTGAGGAGCGAGCCCCAGCGGGACCCCACCAGCAGCCCCACTCCTACCGTCTCTGTTGGTGTCCATCTGGCGGAAGATCTTTTCCGTCCTCTTCTCCGGGGTGGACTCGTCCTCAGGCATTTTCATTACAGAGGAAACCATCTTGTAGATGGCCTGGGGACAGAGGGACAGGGCCATAAGATGGACATGCAGGTGGCACATACAGCCCTGCCGTCAGCCTCCAAGTACACCCAGCCGCAGGGGGCTGGACGCGTCCCTGTGATTCAGTGCAGTGACAGCTGGCAGGAAGAGCCACATCTGCTGTGTCTGTGGACACTGCTGAGACACAGGGTCCCAGAGCAGGGAGGGGACAGCTCCTGCATGATGCTGCTGCCACCAGAGCCAGGATGTAGAGGTCACCCATTGGCCCCAGAGACCTCGGGGCCTGCAGTGGTGTCCATACGGCCTCAGAGGAGCACAGGCACCTGACAGGCCCCAGGTGGATGGCTGGTGCATCCCCATGCTGTCCCCAACACCGAGGCTGTGGGTCCCAGTCCTTCCCTGCAAGCTCCCAGATACCCCAAGGGGGAGAGGATCCGCCCTGGGAGTTTGGGATTAAGATGATTTCACAATCTCAGCCCAAACGAGGCTGTTCACATCTGTGGAATTCCGTGAGCGAGAGAGGCCGCTCTGAAGCGGTTCTGTGAACAGCGCCAAAACTGGCTGCCACCTGCGGCCTCCGGGGCCCAGGGAGACCTCAGAGGCCGGGGAGATGGGTCTTTCCCAAATGGGAGGGACCAAGAGGCAGGGAAGAGAAAGGAAGAGGAGGGAAGGGGAAGTAGAAAGGGTAAAGATGTGTTTTGTCCCTGGGCCAACACCACAACGAATGGAATCATTACGTCCTACAAACCCAGACTGACGAAAATAAAAATCTCAGAAGGAAGTTGGTGTTTGGGAAGAGTAATGTTGTCACTGTGTGTACCCCCAGATCATGACTTTGCTAATCACATTGGCTTTGGGCACCTTAGTCCTGGGGAAAAGCTTCAGAAAAAGTATATTTTGCCAGGAAGTGGGGAGAAAGTTCCAGAACCTTGTAGAGTTCTGAGTCCAGCAAGGCCATGGAGAGCTTGGAGGAGGAAGGTGGCGGAAGGAGGCAGCCTGCACATGGGAGAGATGGAGGGAGGCCACAGGGACTCTGGCAGTTAAAACCTTCACCCTGCCGGAAGTCTCTGCAGTGTCCTGGACAGGGAATAATCCAGTCTCAGCCAAGAAGACAGGAATGAAAGTGAGAGTCAGCCAGTGTGCTGACCCCGGGCTCACTCAGCCTTGGAGACCCTTCAGACCAGCCCCTGAGTCTGTCTTAGGCGAACCCAGGCCCCGTGAATGGCACAAGAGCCTCCCTGTGAAGGACCCAGCAGGAAGGTCAGGCCTCAGGGCACGGCCCTGCATGGGCGATGGCCTCATGGAGAAATGCAGGCGCAGCCGTGTCCCTGGGAGGCACATCTGTGCTGCTCCCCAGCCCTCCGGTCCAGTCTGAGCCATCGTCGGTGCCAGGGCCGCAGTGCCATGGGCCATGAGGGGACACCTCAGTGCTCGGAGGAGCCGGGGCCGCACAGAGAGCTGAGGTGGGTCAGAGAGGCCCAGCTAACGCCTTGAAGTCTAGCACCCTCGCCTGGGGTTTCTTTGCTAAGCGAGGGGCTTAGCAGTAACCTCTGGCCCAGGCAAACCGGAATCCGGGGCACCACACACCCTTCAGACAGCATCTGTGTGTGGTGAGTTCCGAGCCCAGGGGTCTCGGGACCTCAGACACCACACGGGCCAGGCGGCAGAGCGCAGCCTTGGACGGCACAGCTGTGGCCTGGCGCTGGGCTTGCTCTGCTGGAAGTCTCGAGGACTCCATGCAGCACCACCTGTCCTCGGCCTTCTCTGGGCCTGGTGGCTCCTTCCCCTGCGCGGTCCAGCCTGTGGAAACCCTATCACCGGCTGCTCCAGGGACCTGCTGTGCCCATGCCTGCCCCATGGGGGCTTCCCCAGGCCAGCTGCTCACAAAGACTGGTCGCCAAGGCCCCGATCTCCCTGACACACACCTTGTTTTCCTGGACCGGCAGCTCTGTTCACACTCTTCTCTACCCAAGTGCTCCACCTGAGTCCTTCCCTCCCCTCCGTCAGCTCCTACCCGAATGTTAGGGCAGGTGAGAGGTCGGCCTCCTCCAGGAAGCCTGCTGTGCTCTTCCATCCTCTCACAGTGGGCAGCAATATCCGTCTCCCACCCCAGTCGCCTTTCCCCGTGGTCTTCTTCTTCTCTCACCTTTCTTCTGTTCTACAAAGTTCCCCCTTTAAACTGGGTGTTGTGGTGCACACCTGTCATCCCAGCACCTGGGAGGCTGAGGCAGGAGGGTTGTGTGAGTTCCAGGCCAGCCCGGGCTACTTAGTGAGTTTAAGTCCAGGTTGGACTACATAGTAAGACTGTCTCAAAAACACAAGACAAAAGAGTTCCCCCTTTATCTCCTGTATTTATTTTGTTTCCATTCTTTTTACTTTTCCTCCTTTTCTCTCAATACGTGTAAGGAACCATAGTCACATGAAGCCCCTAAAGATTCTTGATCCATCAGAAGTTGCGTCCTCACCCCAAATGCTCCCTCCGTGCACCCTCAGCCGTGCAGGCGATTTCAGGGGCTCACCCGCGGGCCCCAGGTTGGAAAGCCCTCGTTCTTAGTTGGCCCTTCACTTCCTTTTGCCGTTCGCCCATCTGTCAGCGTGTACTGAGCTGCCGCTGCTGCAGGCCAGGCTTTCCGGGCGCTGGTGACAGGCGTGGCCACAATCAGCAGGAGTGAGTGCAAGATCTCTGCAGGGTGCACCAAGGAGACGGGCCAGGGCAGGGACCGGGACACCCAGGGGAGGCGCCTGTCTCTCCCATAAGCAGCCCGAGGATGGAAGTGGTATTCGTCTGACTTTCGGGTTGGTGGCCCCGCACCAAATCTACCTCTGCTCCTTTCTTTCAGGCAGAAGTGTTCAGAGAATTAGACAACAGTCATTCCTAATTTATTCCACAATTGCTTCCTGTCCACTCTGGGGCAGAGGCGGGGACACAGCAGTCTATGGGCAGATGAGCTCTCACTTCTTTTCTGTCTCCCACACCCTTTGGAAAAGGACCCAGCCGCCCCAGACTGCAGACCCAGAGCGCTTGTTTCTCAGCAGGCCCTGCTTAGGTGGGGGAGTCACTCCAGGAACGGCTTCCTGACTGTCATGGGCGGTGGCTGGCACCTCGGGCACTCCCGTGGGAGCAGGACCCGCTGGGCTGGGCCCGCTTTGCAGCTCTCATCCCGAGGGGGGATTCAGCTGCCAAAGCGGCCGGCCTGAAGGCGTCATCCTGCCACTCAGGGCTGCGTAGGGGAGCCGCGTGCTGGGAAGCTAAGCTCCCGAGCAGCACACAGAGCAAGGCGCAGCGCACTTCGGCCCCGTGGTGTCCCGGGTGGGCGAGTGGCCAGTGGCCTCCCAGGACCGCACTGGGGCAGCCCTACGATGGGCGCTGACAGCCACACAAGTTCAAGATCTGGGGCTCCATGACACAGAGCAGAGAGACACCACCCAGGCAGCGATCTGAAGCCAGTCGTGTATTTTATTAGCTCCAGTTTTTCACCCAAAATTTAATGGGATTAAACCACGAAGAGGCCAGGCTACTTCCGGGCTTTATTTTTAGCAATGTCAGGGAGAGGACCAGCAGGGACATCCTGTTTTTAATTAAACATGAAGCATCCTATTCTTGTCTCTGGGTAAACACAGGATTGGGACACCCAGGAGCCCAGCAGGCTGGGGACAGCTCCCAACGGGCAGGGCCCCTGCCACCTCCCTTGTAGTACATGGCTTTCTTTTATCCCCAAGGGAGCAGCCTAGAAACCTGGAAAAGGAAGGACCCACACTGGAGCTGACAAAGGCCATGGGAGTCACCGAGGCCAGCCCCAAGTCCAGAAGTTAATGGTACACATTTCCTCTGACAGAAACCAGATCGACTCTTCTCACCAGAAAATTTAGGGTCTTCCAGAGGGGAACCAGACCTTCTAGGCTGACGGCAGACTAAGAACAAAAGCAGCGGAGCAGCACTGAGCTGTTTTTAGATTATAAAGATAAAAAACAGCACCCTGCTTAGGAGAATTTATATACCAGAAAAAAAGAGGGGAAAATGCCATGAAAATCCTTTTTGGGACAACTTTTACAACACGGTCATCATCCGTGTATCTGGAATGGCATGAATACTTTCTCATTCAGAGCCAGGAGGTTAAATGAAATTGGTAATTTTTATAATTTCACAGTGTTCTACTGAGGTGCTTTAAAAGTCATCATGCAGTTCCCACCCCTTTTCCTTTTCAATCAAAAAAGTCACATTCTCCTAGTAAGTTTCATATAAGGCTTTACTAGGAAAAAACAACCCTGCTTTTTGCTGCTAAAATTAGGGTTTGGATCCACAGAACCACTTCGTGTTTTCTTCCCTTTGTAATGCTACAATCCTTGGAGGTAATGATTCAAGGATTTGTATGCTGACTCATCCTCCCATGCAATAGCTTATTGTTTAAAAGAACCCATGGTGCCCTTCTGACATTGAAGAGGCACAGAAGTCCAGGAAGGCCTCAGAGTGGGAAGAGCTTTCTTCTGCCAGAGGGATCTCGTGGCAGAGTCCCGACCTGCTGCTCCAAGGAAGGAAGTCTGTGGAAATAAAGATACAGAGCAATGGCGACAACCCTGCTGAGGATGCTGTTGGAGAAGTTTCCCCCACAGCTCTTTCCAAGAAATCAGTCTTCCAAGATGCTGGGGTACCAGAGAGAGCCCATCATGAAAACCGCTGAGGTGCTTTGCCCTCTTTAAGCAATACAATGCTCAGGGCATATTAAAGGCGGGAATTCTGCCCAAGACACCACTGGATGCCTCTGTAACCCAGGGCTTCCCAAAGGGTTTGATCCTTTTGTTGCAATACACCTAAGAAGCACTTGATGAAACTCATACCCCGCAAAGGGCCTTTGAGCTGGGATGGTCTTACTGGGTTCTCTCTTCCCCTGGCTCTGTTCTCTGTCCTCCCTTGTACAAATCAGATAACCCATGCTGTCTCTATAGGACATCTGTTTTCCTAATAGTGTCAGAGTTTCCTCAAGACAGGAGAGTCTTATGCACTGGTGTCTTAT